TGCTCTCAATTTTGACGTATATAAATCTACATTGTTATTGCTAATTTCTTAGTTTGGTATTTTGCTTCGTTATATTATTACTGCGATTTTCAACTGGGATTTCAAGAAATGGCAGGTTATTCGTGATGCAGAGATGTTTCCCGCTTGACGCATTCCGAATTCTATAAAACAAAAGAATGTTTCGAAACGAAAAAAAAGAGATGGTGGCTGGCTAAGAAGTTGGAAGCCAACTAAAATATTGTTACTATGAATTTACCTACTGATATCATGTCACTACAAACACTCAAATATCTCGAGAACGGTTACATTTCTTGAATTTTGATAGGGGTACCATTTATAGGTAATTTTCTTCTCTCTATCAGGTGCTTCAATTTTTTTAACTAAGAAAATACAACGAAAGAAGTTCTCTTCAAAAAATCATGACCCACCCTCTGAAAACACCCTTCATACTATAGTAGAAATGTGCAAAAAAACTGTATTTCATCAACACACATTCTTGCAGGAAATCTCAATTTTCGGAAAAATTATTTCAACAAACTAATCTTATTTTTCAATATACATCACATCCAGAAAGCTGGGTACACATTTTTGATTCACCCTATGTATGGATCCTTTATCAAATGCATACACAATAATTGAAAATCAACTCGCTCCAAAGCTGTTTCAAAATATTCTTGGTTTGGGATATTATTGGATATAATGAATTTCTATCCGCCATTTTCGAAATTCTCACTAGAGTTTCAAATTGCTTTACGCCTCTTTGCTCAAGCATATTACTGAATCCCTATGCTTTGAAGAACATTAACTACATTTCTTCTACTCATTTGTGTTAACAATGGGATGTTATTCCGGGTCAGGTTATTCGTATTCGCGAAATATATTTCTATTTTTCACGTGAATAACCTTTTTAGTACCGATTCACTTGGAATAACATTCTATCAATGTATATAATGATTTTTCTATGTGCAATGTATTAACTGATAATAAAACGATTATTTTCCCATAGCTATGTCCTATGTTAGTTCAACATGCACTGCCAATACTTGCGGACAAAATGCTCAATGCCAAGTGGTCGGAGGACGCCCTGTGTGCTCCTGTTTGAGGGGACATTCTGGAGATCCTCTTTCTTACTGTAAAAGGTACTCATATAGATACATGAATCAATCGTTTCTATAAACGGGAATTGGGCATTATTACATTGAAACTGAAAAAAAAAAGAATTTAAAAAAAAAAACAATGTCAAACAATCATATTCAGAATACGAATAAAAACATCAAGTTTCACAGTGGATGGAGAACAAAATGACAAATTATTCAAAAAATTCGTGAGCTTGGATAATGAAACATGCTCTATCAGTCTTAAATAATTTCAAGAGTACAGTGTTGCCGATTGTATAATGAAATATACATACTATAATATAGCTACTTTGGTATTTCAAATAGAACACCCCGTATATTATATCTTATATCATTTTACAAATCCTTATGAGATTTCTCATAACTTTTTATAACGGTTTTTGAGTTAAAGATTATTTTGCCCAATTTTTCTGCAAAAACCAGACCATTGTAAAATAAATGTTTTTTTCCCAATTAATGCACATTGACGAAATATTGCAATTTGCATCTTAGCTGCATAAGACCATCAAGTATTCTGTCGATGAACTGGATATCAGTTACAGCATATAGGGAGTCTCAGAAGTAAGTTTCTTCCGGGGACTCATAAAAATGACTGAAACTCGGTTTTTTCGAATGGAACACCCTGTATATTGTTAGTTATTCTGGGAGCTGTAACATTCTACAACTTAATTGTGTATACTTTTCCTATACCTATCTCGTATACGGTTTGTTAGTTATGGTCATTTATGTTATGAAATCGTTTTCAAAAAAATAATTATTGGATAGTGATTCAGATGAGTAGGCTATAAATTTCATTCTGACAGATCTGACATATGATTATTCCTTCATTGTCAACATCTTGTTAGGTTTTTGAAATCTACAATTCAACTGTTATTGGATTTCATAATTCTCATCTTCACAAAGAGAGAGACTCAAAAGTCATTACCACACTAGTTCATAAAATGAATGAGCTGCGCCTAAGTGGTTCAGGAACGCGTGACTACCTGCAGACCATTTTCGAGCTGTTGGCTCTCATCAGTACAGGGCTGTCCCAGATAGCTTCTTGACCGCTATCTGGTGTGAACCCGATCCAACGTAAACGCATCTCAGCATTTATACCATACGAGGCGTTCGAAGTCCGCGAAATGAAAACGCGAACGCCGAACGCCACCTGGCAAGGAAAGGAACACTCCGAAACAAGATCTCATTTCAGGCGAAATGGGAGTGGCTGGTTGCCCGACTGCCCAACTAGGGAAAAAGCCATATACTCAAAGTGGAATGCAATGGGCACAAAGATAGCGGTCAAGAAGCAATCTGGCACAGCCCAGTACTGATGAGAGCCAACAGCTCGAAACCGGTCTGCAGGTCACGCATTCCTGAATCACTTAGGCGTTTAGGAAGGAAACACTTGCAATTTTATTCGTCTATACGAACTATTGCATGGATTTCTGGAGGATGTAATCCAATGTTCTGCGTGGCATATAGCCAGGAAAGTATAGTTACTCTCGTTATCTACAATTTTCGTTCATTTTATGAACTAGTGTGGTAATGACTTTGAGTTTCACTGTCTATGTGACCATTGTATTCCACTTTGAGTATTTGGCTTTTTCCCTAGTTGAATTCTCATCATGTTATTAAATCGCGAATTCGAGTGCAAATTTCCGCACAGGACAGTGCAATTTTTCAATCCTTCTGCTCAGGATAGTGATTGGCACAAGTGCCGTTTGATAAATTACAAATGGTTTTACATGCCTTTGAGACAGATGACGGTAGAAATGTGCAGCCGGATCACCTACTAGAACAACACTTTTCCAAAATTCGTTTGTCTATAGAACGGCAAAGCTTTGAAATTTGCCGATAGAAGCATTCCCAAAAACTTATTGGCTACAAAGTACGGAAAAATTCTAATACCTCCTCTCCCTATATGCTCTCAAGGCACGCACGATAGGTTCTTCGAACATTATAGGGCTTCCCTTTCGTGCGCTTGAATGGATAAATAAAAGCGAAATACAAAAATATGACTGTAAAACTGTTGTAGCTCTAAAACAATTTGTGTCATGATCATTGAAACTTTTGAAATGGAAAAGTCTCAGATAAATTATGAACATAAAATATGGATATATATATACAGGGTGTATCTAAATAACACCGAATAAAGTTCATATAAACATGTATCCTAAGTTGCTCCGTTTTTGAGATACAGGATGTTGAAGCTGGAAGAATTAATTGTTTTTATTCATAACCTCCCTGTATAAGCTTTAAGTGGTACCAAAATTCAGTATGGTTGGAGACTGGGGAAACCCTAAAATTTCGAAATGATTGTGATTTGGGTTATTGAGTAATCAATGGTCTTGAAAACACCTACAGTAAAATTTGGAGTCAAATCGAATTTTTATTATTGCCTCAAAAACTAAGCCAGATACTAAAATCAAACAGTGGATAAAAAAGTTGTTATTTCAATAGTTCAATCTAATAAAAATACGAAACTCAGAAAAACTCGTGGCGTACAATGACATTCACTATAAATATCGATAAATTTACCCACTGTGACGCCACTGTAAATATTATTTCGAATCTAATTGCACCAGAAGAAGCTCCATATTACTATTAACGATACCACAACGTTTTATTGAAATTGATGGAAAGACAAATGAGTAATAAATAAAAAAACGATTTGTCATGGAAATATTGATACCCTATATCTCGAAAACGAAGCAAGTTTTAGGACACATATTCATATGAACTTTATTTCCTAAATTTTTTCGGTGTTATTCAGATACACCCTGTATATAAAGCAATACATAGAGAATTCGCATTCTCTATGTGATGAGAATATCAACTCTTTTTCAGTTTATTCAACAGAAAACAACTACTCTCCTGGCTATATGCCACGACGAACATTGAATCATATCTGATGAACATTCAAAAGGAGAACTTGAAAAAAAAAATGAAATTCTCCATAAATTGAGAATTGACATTCTTTCAATCGGATGAATAATATGATGTATAATGATATAAAAATATAACTTCATTTCATTCATTGTATATACTTGATTTGAAATTTCTAGGTATTGATCTGTTGTCTCTGTATCTTATGGATATCCTATATGGACGTATTCAGGACGTTCGTTTCGGATATCTCAAGTACATCCGCAATTAGATATCCTATGGATATACATTTTATGTCCACGAATATTCCGCCTTGAATAGGACTTGAAATGAAATATCCATAAGATATCCTGTGTTAACTGGGGTGATAGAGTATGATGTATGCATGATGAATATCAATTCATTATACACCCAAAAAACAAAAATTTAGACTTTTCTTTGAACATTAAGGATTCTTCTGTATGACTTATGACACACAATCCTCAGACACACCATGCATACAGTGACATGAAAAACGATTTCAGATCCGAATGTCTCGATGACTACGAATGTGCTGGCCAGCTGACTTGCAGAGACGGTAAATGTATCGACCCTTGCGCTGGCACTTGCGGTGCCAACGCCCTGTGTGAAGCGAGACGGGGCATCCCAATTTGCAACTGCCCACCGGGATATACAGGGAACGCCATCACTTCATGCAGAAGATTCGATCCAGGTATGATCCCGACATACCCCAATACAATACCATCGAACATCAACTAGATTCAGTCATGTCAGTTGAATTAGGAATATAGTCGTTTATCTGAACTAGATAATTTGGCCTCCTGCTTGATATATATCTTGGAAATTCAATACTTAACATGGAAGAGCAATCGATTCTTGTAGCCTCCATAGTTTCTTCGATTGTTGACGATGACGATTCAAGCTTGAGACATTCACGTAATATGGCATTAATGATGATGAATTTAGCCAATGCTTCTTCTTCTTTCGTTACCTCTACTACTCCATACTCCATATTATTCTCACCGTTTATTATTTCAATAACAGAGATTATACACTCCGTATTTTCCTACTAAAATAATGACAATTAACTGAAGCCACACTACCTTTTGACCGTCAGCAATTTCAGCAGAATGTTGAGTCGAAATATTTAGAATGGGTAGTATGTCTATTATTTTAGAGAGGGGAAGGATTGACATATTTATTACAGTTGTTTTTTAACATTAAGTCTTGTCTTATCAATAATATATTAATAATATAATTTTTAATATCAGAAAATGCCTGTTATTCATAGATAATTGGCCAGATAAACAAGAAACTACAGAAGTGACAACTGACAAATTCAATCAGCTGATCAACTGCTGCTGATTACTGATGAAAACGTGTTTCGAATTACAGCACTATATTTTTGATTTTATGGTTCGGAATACAGATTTTCAACAGATTCAGTGGATCTACTGACAATAAGTACTGACCAGTTGAATTCGGAATATAGCCAACAGTGTTGCTAACGACCAGCTGTTGAAAAACGCCAATGTGCTTTTGAAAAAATCTAGTAAAAGCTAGATCATAAAAATAATGTGACGCAGGCGGAAATTTTTCGAAATCTAGATTATTTCTAGCTTTTTTAATATTTATTTCATACTGTTTACCACTCGATCGTCGCACTGGTCTGAGTTTTTTCCCCACCCAACATTTTTTGTCTCTGTTCATCACGTGTAATTTCAAATGATATACATACACATAATATATGTATACACAGACTTTAATAATTTCAGTTCATGAAAAACGCTATTTCAGTGTTCAGAAGTTAGGACTCAATGTTTCAATTATCTCAATCAGGCGTTCGTGAATTTTTCAGTATTGAGCACGGCTTCTATATACATATTTTTTTTTAAATTCATTTGCTCAACAAGAAATACAAAAATTTTATAGCAAAGAGTTTCAACGAACATATAGAATAAAAAATCTAATAAAAATAGTTATTTTTGTATCTAGAGCGCGAAATGCTACTTTGGTGATCGAGATCTGATTTTTTAACGAGGCTAGCCGAGTTAAAAAAATAGTCGAGATGACCAAAGTATTTCGCGCTCGAGTTGCAAACAACATTTTTTCTACAAACGTCAAAAAATATAGTTCTGAAGTAATAATATGCTTAGCTTGATATCAAAAATAGTGTTGAACTGGATTAAAAAGGCTTCCCCCTATCCTCCCTAGGTACGCACGATGTTCCATGAACATAATAGGAATTTCCTTTCGTGCGCTCCAAGAAATAAAACAAAGTTATTGTTGAACATTCAGAAATAAATGATTTCGTGGATGTTTGTTCGATTGAGGACCATGAAGTTGAAATATAAATATCTCATATATTTTACATAACAATGCGCGAAGTAGGTACTTCGCGCACTGTTTTACTTCGCGCACTGCTTCGCACATTGTGTCGTGGTAACGTAGGAAACTGAAAAAAAGTGTCACTTCGCAATTTGTTATCAATGCGCGAACCTTGTCATTTTTTGACGTTTGTAGAAAAAAACTTTTTAAAAGAAAAAAAAATGTTGAGAAAGAGAAAATACATATTTTATTATATGAATCCTATTTTAACTGTTAATTAATTATACGAATATACCAATACAAAAATGTGCCCTTGTTACAAACCTTAGAGGGTGAAAAAAAACAAGTTAGCATAATAATATTATTGACCTAGAGGAACGATCAGCCAATTTATGTGGTATAATAAGGATTCAAATATAGTTTTCCATCGAATCAAATCAATAACAGAATATTAAATATTGAATTTTGTTGTCAGTTGTCATTCTTGAGTCAGTATTAGCATCACCTACTATTCTGTGGTAGAAGTGGCAGAATCATAAAAGCATATAATGTGTCAATAATTTTTTTTTTTTATCGCTTGGAGCGCACGAAAGGGAATCCCACATTTCACTCCATTGTTTTTTTAACACATAAAATGTGAAATTAGTGTATGACATCAGTTAGGCCTATTGATACTTCACGTGAAAGTAATATTTTTTCACATGCCTAAATGTAGAGGTTCATGAGATATATTTACGAAAAACTGAAGAAATGTCTAGAGATGATAATTATAGTGTTATATGTTGAAGAAAAATAAATTGCAATGCTCTCAATGTTGTTCACATATTCAACAAGTAGTACCTCAAACAGGTTGCACTTCAAGACAGAACTCAATACAAACTGTTCACCCTCAGATAACGTGTGAGGAAAAGTAAGTTTCTTCGACCTATACTTTTAATACTCGTAATATTTTTCCAATGTTCCCAACACACAAGAATGTTCAGGAGGTTGAAAAATTTACTGATATCTTGTGGACAATAAGCGTTATGCGATTAACTCAAGACTTACCCTTAGATTTTCGTAAATATCTCAGGAACCACTATATTTAGACATGTGAAATGTTATTATATCAATCAATAATAAGCCTAACAGATGTCATACAACAATTTGGCATTTCATCTGTCAAAGAAAACATACGGAGATAAATGTGGCGACATACGACCTCAACTACGCCACGATTTCCAAACAAAATTCAAATACTGATAAAAACTTTTCATGTCAAAATAGGGTGAACATACGAAGTTTCTCGGTCTCATTCCGACCCGCCCCTGTATAGACCGCTAATGCCATAAGACAAAAGTTCGAAAACAGATAATGTGTATTAGTTCTTGTCATTCATCTTTGGATCCTTCTGCGCCTCTAGTATATTTGTATATAACGCGGAATCTTAGAACTTGATTTTGACCCACTCCAAAACGTCGAATTGCATTTAACTTCGCACAGTTATCAATATTCGATGACAAAAGCATAATTTCTCTAATAAGCGGTGCATGATGTTCCTTCGCCAAAATTGAAAATGTTCCCTTGGCAAAATGTAAAAATGTTCCTTCACCAAAATTTCAAATGTTCGTTTTTATACCTTGGAATTACTTAACAATGATTTTTTATATTTAGAGACACGGCAGTGTCATTCACCAAGTCGAATTGAATTGAAAATTCGCAAATTCGAGAACCCATGACAATAACATAATTCCAGAGTTTTGTTCCTTTATCCTGACAGGATCTTCAGGATGAGCGTGACAAGATGACTATTTGACGAATTTATATAAAATAGAAAATTAATGCTCAATTGACAAGAAAAATATATTTCCATAAAATTGAAATGTAGATATCATAGAATGTTGCAGTGAATGTCACTGAAATTATTATCAGCGTTCCATTTGTCAGAATTTCGACACCGCCTGTGATTTTGAATTGTGCTGTGAAAACATTTAAATGTTCAAACTGTTCATTACATCGATACATCGTTATGTTGACTATTCCACTCATAATCTTACCAATCACAAGCCAGAGACAACACTGATATTTCAGTGGCATTTTATGATACATTTCCCTATTTCAAAAAAATTTCTTGTATTAATTTTTTCTTTCATTTAATTTTGCCCAATAACCAACTTCACTGTATTGAAAAAAATCTTAATCAGAAAAAAATAAAAAGTATAGTGCCATAAAAAAAAACGATGACAGCCGTTGACATTACAATTGCAATTTGAAGAAACAAATAGTGATCACAGCCTAAGAATAGTATTTGATGAGTCAAATCACGATAGGCGATTTTTTCATTTGGCACAGAATCATAGACCTATAATACCGGGCGTAAGAGGATCATGGTACAGCAAACCTTTTTAATGAACTTAATTTGGTAAATCAGAGAATTCGCCTTTTTTGACAGGAACCACTTTCCTATCAATACACCTGTCGATATGAGTACACCAGACTCGATCAGAATAGTCGTGGCACACTGGGATAGAAAATCAGAAATGAAATTAAAATCGTTAATGATGTTTGAAATGTTACTTATGTGGTAGGTACTATTGGATCTAGAAAATGATGCAGAATTCGGAAATACAATGATATACAGGGTGTCCTATTTGAAAATTAAAAGTTATTATCACTTCCGGTGAAACCGGAAGTAGAAAATGAGACATATTTATGTCAAGATGTGACATTTTTCAAGTTGATGGGCCCTTATTCCGAAATGCAATTACTTATCTCTAAAACTACACCCGGTATATATCGTTGTTTCGTTTTTCTTCTCCATTTCGGGCCATAGGCCTAACGAACATTATACCTATTAAATGCTGCTACTTTCTAAAATCAGGAGATTCCAACCGAAAATCGATAGATTTTCTATGATTCTCTTTGACCCTTGGTGGATTTCGATAGTGAATCGTTAGTCGGGAGAAAATTCAGAAAATCGGGAGATCTTCCGAAATATTGGAGTAGTTAGCAGCACTGATCGGAAGTTTATTGTTTCCAGAGGAACTCTGTCATCCGAGCCCTTGCGGCCAGAACACGAACTGCGAAGTAAAGAACGGCGTGCCGACTTGTTCCTGCCAGCCCGGTTACCACGGCTCGCCATTGGCCGGCTGCCGGCACGAATGCGAAAGCGATGCCGAGTGTGGACCGTCTGCCGCCTGCATCCAGTTCAAGTGTCAGAATCCTTGTTTGACGCAGTGCGGCAAGAATGCCGAGTGCGAGACGATCAGCAACCATAAGGCTGTTTGCAAGTGTCCAAAGGTATACTTTATCCAAAATCGATTTTGTTACAGAGCGCAATTCGTCCTTCCTTGCCTCCTTAATGGATTTAAAGGGAATCTATTCGTGGTATACCGGTCAGCTGTTATGATACCAGTTAATCCGATATTTTGTTATGTACAGGGTGGCTGTAATTCGAGCCTTATCATTGGGATCTAGTAAATCGTAAGAGAGACAGGGTTGTCGGAGCCCTGAGGGGACAGAAGGATGATCTAGCCTTCATAGCCATCTAGTGAATCAACAAAGGTGTATAGGTAGATTCATCAATCATACCTTGCGAGTAAGTCGCGCATATAGACCCCTACGTCTATATGCTTACAGTAAAGACATCCATGTCAGATTCTGTAGACTATCGCAACACCTGTACAGGAACATTAAACCACTTTGAGAATTGCGACAGTCTACAGAATCTGACATGGATGTCTTTTCTGTAAGCATATAGACGTAGGGGTCTATATGCACGACTTACCCGCAAGGTATGATTAATGAATCTACCTATACACCTTTGCACTTGAGTCACTAGATGGCTATGAAGGCTAGATCGTCCTTCTGCCCCCTCAGGGCTTCGACTTGTTTGATATATGGAGGTATCCTTCGTGATTCGATTGTCAGCTGGCCAGTGCAACTGATAAGACTTATGGCAAGTCGAAACATTCTGTCTTGCATCAGATGTCAATCGATTCACGAAATTTCCCTAGAATCTCTTAGTCTTGAGATTCTAGGCTTATCAGATACAAGGGTTGGTTGAATTATGACAAAGTTGCTCAATTTGATGCCTAACAGTATGGCGTTTTGAAACTTGGAAAATTCCGATTACTTTCGGAGGTATCCAAAAAAAAATCCAAATTTCATGAAACCGTTTTAATTTTTTTCTGGCGTTAATCGAAGGGATCAACCGATATGAATTTGAAATCCGACGTCTGGTCTTCCCGAAACCATCATCAACTTATTTTTAATCAATACGGGCCTGGGTTTTTCATTTCATTTTTTGTTACCATTGAGCCCAAAAACTATGGGCTTTCAGAAATTTCGATTTTCAAATGTTTCGATGACAAAAATTGACAGTTTCTCTGTTTTTTCAGAATATTTAATCCGAAACTAGTTTTGAAACATTATAATTCATCAGTAATATGAATAAGGAACGCTCATCAGCTCTTGAACACTGGAAAGATTTCAATGAAACCCCTCACCTCTCCATACTGCCCTGATTATTACGAAACTGAACTTCTGGCGAAATAATATCTGATACTCAGTCCATTAATAAAAACTATGCCTAAATTGTGAAAAATAACAAGAAACATTTTTGAACTAAATGCTCGAATAATCCCCCTTGCACCTCTAGGCATTTTCGTATGCGTCTTAGCAGGTTGCCAGTAAGCGAGCGCTGGATAATTCTTACAATATTTATGCGCCGTGTAATATCTTTAAATGAACGTTTTTTTTAAATATCCCCATGAGAAATTATCCAGCGGGGACATATCGGGGGAGCTCCTTGCAGGCCAGCGCACCACTCCTTGGCTTCTAATCCACTGATTGGGAAGCGTTTAATTTAGATACTGAGTAACGGCCCTTCCATTGTGGGGTGGTGCGCCATCCTGTTGCCATCATAGTTGCTGGAGTATATTCAACAGCTCGTCTTCGAGAGGTTCCAAATGTTGGATGAAATAATGAATATTCAAAAGAAATAAAGAAAATGTCAATATTTGTGATCGAAATATTTGGATACCGAAATTTGTGATAGCTCATAGTCTTTGGGCTATACAAATGTAATGAAGAATGAAATAAAAAATCCAGGTCCGTATTCAAAAACGTCGGATCTCAAATTTGAAAACGCTATTATGTAGGGAAGCAATAGTGACCATGATAAAGTGTTATTCATATCGATTGATCTCTTCAAATGAAGCCAGAAAAAAATAAAAACAGTGTCATAAAATTTAGATTTTTTTCGGATATCTCCGAAAGTATTCGGAATTTTCCAATTTTCAGCACGGCATGGTTGGCATAAAATTGCGCAACTTCGCCATAATTTAACCGACCCTGTATCTTTCACGGTTTACGAGATTCCAATGATGAGGCTCGAAATCCAGCCACCCTGTACAGCCTATGGCTGTGCTCAGATGTTTCGTTAGAAATCCCCCTAGTGCCTTGAAACTGAGTTTACTGAGGTAAATCAGTGTCTTCGATCTTGCTCGGTTGATATTGTTGACCTACCGCAGTCCGGGAAGTATTCGTCAGTGTGTTCTGTCATTATTTCTTCCACTTCATTCATTTCTTCTTGGAAACATCCATTTTCAAGACCGTAGGATGATTCTGGTCCGATCATTGATTGTTCATTCTCCTCCACTCCACAATGTGCTCCGGCACCCAGAAGAGAATTACCTTGTTCCTGCCTAGATTGTTGGGTTTTGTCTAGGCATTCCCAAACCATCTTGCATTTGATATCAAAAGAGCTCAACGCCTTGATGGCTGCTGGGCTGTCGTGAGGATAGCGATTTCCTTGTTCCGGTAATTTCTTTCGATGACGTGAATTTCCTCTAGGGCACTGGCCAATCGCTTCGGAATATTCAGTTCGGAGCAAAAACACTTATGCTCCAGTCCCCTAGGATATTTTATACCCGTCCATATATCATATTATGGTATTCTTTCCCAGTGCTTGGATGGATTCTGTGCACCATTCTCTCTTGGTGCTCAGTTCCTTTTGAACAATTTCCTCAAAATCTCCTTGTAATTTCATCAGTTGGTAGATAGGTGAGGTTTGCACTTTTAGTGGGCAGTGAATTCCTTGCACTGTGTGCTTCCCATCCTTCTTCAACCTGAGATGTACTGTCCAAGCAGTTCTCCTCACCATGATGTGGAGTGGTGGTCCATAATGACTTTAGTGCTGCTGTTGGAGCCGATTTCATTGCTCCTGTTATGTAGACATCGGTCTTTGCACCTTCTCTGGAATTTTTCTTCTTGTGAATATGGATTTACCGTGCGACTACTGCTGCGTATAGGTAATCATGCATCTCATTTGTTTACATTTATCGCAGTATTGATGGGTTGCGACCCCATGCCCTTCCGGCAATGTTCCTGCACACTATCAGATGATTTTTCTTTGCTGACAATCTTTTCTACGTATGGATTCCAGATAGAAGTTTGACGTCTAGGATGACTCCTAGATATACTGTCAAGACGGACTGAGCTGAGTGCTTCCAGAGCTGTTTGTGACACTTCGAGAATATTCAGATTGCTTCAACCGACGGCTTGTTTCGAAATAGAATTCGATATAGAAATTTGACTATCGCGTATTTTTGTCTTAATATTTCGGAATTTTCTCTCAGAACTCTGAGATTGTTCCATCACTTTCCAAAACTACTTCGGCAACCCGTACTCGTCCTGCCAGCCGGAATGGTACAATGACATCGACTGTCCCAGTCACAAGCCGGCCTGTTCCTACGGCGTCTGCAAGAGCCACTGCGACGGCACGTACGGCATTTTTTCTAATCATTCCTATATTTTTCTCTCAAAATTTCTGGATTTCCTCTCAGAATTCTAAGATTTTTCCATAATTTTCCGGAACTACTTCGGCAACCCGTACTCGTCCTGCCAGCCGGAGTGCTACGGTGACGTCGACTGTCCCAGCCACAAGCCTGCCTGTCTCTACGGCATCTGCAAGAGCCCCTGCGACGGCGCGTGCGGCGTTTTTTCTCATCATTCCGATATTTTTTCTCAAAATTTCGGGATTTCCTCTCAGAATTCTAAGACTTTTTCCAGAACTACTTCGGCAACCCGTACTCGTCCTGCCAGCCGGAATGCTACGGGGAGGTCGACTGTTCCAGCAGCACGCCACAAGCCGACCTGCTTCTACTGCGTCTGCAGAGCCGCTACGACGGCGCGTACGGCTCATCAGTCCGATATTCTTTTTTCAAAATGTCGGGATTTTTTGTCATAATTGTAAGATTTTCTCATCACTTTCCAGAACTACTTCGGCAACCCGTACTCGTCCTGCCAGCCAGAGTGCTACGGGGACGTCGACTGTCCCAGTCACAAGCCAGCCTGTTTCTACGGCATCTGCAAGAGTCCTTGCGACGGGGCGTGCGGCGTCGGCGCCGATTGCAAGCTGCGCGGCCTCACGCCTGTCTGCTCCTGTCCCAGGGACATGACGGGAGATCCCTTCGTCCGGTGCAGGCCTTTCGAAGCCAGTAAGTACACTCTTCGCGAAGCGTAGGTATAGTCTTCGCAATGTTATAGCGAATTTCACCTGATGGTGCAATAATTATACACCAGTTCTGCTCTTGCACTAAATAATATGATGATGACATTTTTCTTAGAGGTTATAGATCTTTAAAGTTGCTCACTGAATCGAAAGTAGGCGTTTGCTCCCTCATTTAGGGAAACAAAGTTATCAATTTACTCCCACGGGAGGAAAAAACTATTAACTCCCGTGGGAGATAAAACTATTAACTCCCGTGGGAGGTGCAACTATAAAATCTGTGCAATCAAAGTAATCAGTGTCTTCATCACTATTATAAAACAAATAGGTAACAATAATATCCATTTTGAATTCCAATGATATCATAATATGCTTCTTCACATTCCGAACGTATTTCTTATCAAAACTTACAAGATACAAATCAATTGTTTAATGATGGCAGAAGTGTCAAATTGACTTTTGTTCAAATGCCGTCAGCTGTCCATGGCATACTATACCTTTGTAATACATAATGATGGATCGAGAGATGCCGCCTGAAGTACAACACACATGCAAAAAATGATGCTTTGAAAGATGCGTTCGTTGATAAAATCATATATATATATATCAGGGGAGGAAATGAATACCTATATGTAAATAGCTATTGTTTCTGTTTATATAGCTCATTGAATTTATATCGAATTCGTCTTTCTGCAACGTAAAAAATATGGATAGAGCTTATGTAATGGTAAATTCGTCTGACTCTGCCTCAAAAAGTCTGAACTCTAGGAACCCCTAATTAGAAAACTCCGACCATACAACATCTAGTATATTAAGTGATGGGTAACCAATGAGATGGGGTTTCTTATACAGGGAATGTCACGAAGAGATCTACTAGAAAGTAGTATAGGTATACATTGATATTTCAAATGGAATACCCTCTATTACATCGCATTTTTAGATTTTCCCTGAAGAGCTGATTTCATCAATCGACTGCTGCACCCTGTATCGATTTGTACGCATTTTTTAGTGTACAGGGGGGCCAAATTGGTCACTTTAAAAGGGAAAGTCCTATTCTCCATCTATAGATAGAAGGAAAATGATATCGGTGCCTGAGGGTCGAATCTCATGCAAAACTCAATGGTGAAGTCCGCATATCGATATCGGTCTTCGTTCCGGAGTTACAAGGTGTTCTTCGAAAATGGGCATTTTTGAAAAGTGGCTACAAATATTTTTGTTGCAAAAATTGTATGTTCTCATGAAAATAACTGCAAAGCATTGAGTTTGTGATGACAATCATTCTTGAAGCACTGAAATCGGCCTTCCTATATCTTGTTCAAGAATATAACGTGTTCTTCTTGAAGGAAAAGTTCTATTCTGAAACTAGGTATATGAAAGGGCCGACTCCCTGGCTAGACAAGGAGCAAATAGCTCAGCCATTGGACCAGAACCAATCTTAGGAGTTTCCAGATCCTGGAGCGTCTCAACCATGATGAAAAGCTTGGAAACGAAATTCCAGGAGGTATGGAGAGAGACTCCAGGCATGAGACAATCGAAACTCCATATCGGAGGCCCTTCTATCAGAAGAACCAAAACGTTGCTCACATTGAGCAGAAAAGAAATAAGAATAGTGGTAGGGTTCCTCACGGGTCACTGCCATCTAAACAGGCACCTCAACATTATGGGTATCACTGACGATGCTGAATGTAGGTGGTGCCTGGAGGACGAGGAGTCAGCTACTCACATCCTCACGGAATGCCCAGCAGTTGCAGCAATACGGGAAGCACATCTCGGGAACATCGTTTTGGAACCAGAGAGTGTGAGAAGGGTTTCGTTGAGAAGGCTGGTCTCTTTCGCCCGCGAAATTGGCTACCTTCATGACTGAACCAATTCCCAGCAGAGGTGGGTGCATAACGGGCCCGAACTAGGAGGCCTACATGCTGAAGGATCCGTCCGCCCACATAGTGTAATCTATCTATCTATCTCTAGGTATATGATGACTGATTTCAGTGCCTGAAGATCAATATTCATGACAATTACAATGCTTTGAAAATGTTTTTGTGAAAATGAAGAATATTTTACAAAAAAAATGAGTTTCAGACACTTTTCAAAAATTCATAACGAAGATAGATATCGATATGCAGTTTTCACCATTGAGTTTGTCATGTGAAGAGATCAACAGGCACCACCATCAGTTTTTTTCTATATTGTACAGGAAAAGGATTTTTTCTTTAAAAGTGTCCAATTTGGCCTACCCTGTACATGCTGATTCTACGTGTAGGTACCTACCTTATTTCTCCAGTCAAATATGGGTTGAGGTTTTGGTTGTCGACCGACTTGACCGACTGGCCGTAAGTGTCACGTGACTAATCACAATGACAAATATGAATGGTTTCGACCGGTCACTTATATACAAAAACCTTTAAAACCGTAAACTTCACTTATCAATTTATCGAAAATAACTCATTACTTGGCATCTTAGAAACGATATTAGGAATCATCTATATGAATCATTAAATTCCTTGAGACAGATTTTGTTGAATGAAATAATAATCCTGAACTGTTTATATCAGAAATAATACACTCGAGTGAATCATCCAGTGATGTATAGCTATTTTTGTTGAAATATAAGCAGTTTGATTTTGAAGACTCTAGATGCCCTTACCCATTTTTAGAGTAATTTGATTGTTTTGAGGTTATAATATTTCATATCCTTGAACCGCACCAACCATCAAAAAGCCCGGGCGGAGTAGGGATGACGATCTTGAATCGATTTTTCCGAAGATCTTTCTTTTCGTCTCAAAAAAATCGATTTTTCAGATCGATCTTCTCCTGTTCGATCTTCACATAAATTCGAATCGAACAAAAATGCACACTGAATAACATATTTGACTATAATGAGAAACAAGTTTTTCCACACAACTACGAGAGCTATACGAATATAATGAGGAATTATTATTGTTCTGTCAAGCTCTAAGGTGAGTTCACTGAAAATATAGGATAATGCAAGATATACATCAGATAAGTAATTTATCAGAAAACGAAAATAGCACAGTGAAATAAGATTATTAGGTAGGCAACTTCTTCAGGGATACTGCAATGATTTACTTATCATGAGATCACTTTCTGAAATGAAGGTTCAATGAAGTTGCATCAAAAATTTCCACATTTTCATGAAAAATCTTGTGTTGAAAGAATGTATATTGCTTCAATGCATATTAAGGTTTCTGGAACATAACCTCAATTCAACACAAAGCAGCAACGTCAAGAAGTTAAGTATTTTTATTTCATCGCGTCAAATATTTTTCAAATTCAGCGTCACAAATCAGGTTGCATGACGCGCGACGCGTAAAGCAAAAACGCTGCTTTGGGAACTCACCTGTAGTTGGTAATTTGTGATCATTCAATGATCATATTTTCAGGAGTCAAGATCTTTTTCACACTTATTCATGTATATTGTTGAAAATTTTCTATGATTTAATCAAGGATCGATTTTTTCTCTTTCGATCTGGATTCATTTTCCAAAGAACGCCATCCCTACGTCGTCTCGGATCGGCCGGCCTTGGCCTTCAATAAAAAAGGATACCATTTGAAGTTGTGGTCGAAGTGTGGTCCAAATTGTCGCGACCGGTCGGCAATCGAAAACTCTCCTTGTGGTTCCAATGATCTCACGTTTAGATTTTTTCCAATTTAGGAGACCTGTGCGAACCGAACCCGTGTGGATCCAACGCCCACTGCGAGCCAGGTTTCGACAGGTACAACAAGGAACGACCAGTTTGTACATGTCCTTTCGGGTACACCGGAGATCCGCTGAAGGCCTGCTTCAAAGGAGAGTGTACTGAGGACGGGCATTGTGCAGACAGCCAAGCTTGCATTGAATACAGGTGAAAACTTTTGCATGTTTTCGATCTGATAAATTACCACTATACAGTCTGTCCAAGATAAGGTTGAACAGCATGGGGATCTCGGAAACGGTAGGAGATACGAAGTCGCTTAAATGGGGAAAAAAGTTGCGCATTCGGAGGCTCATATCAAGAGCCTCCAAAAATTTTGAAAATTATCTTTAGTTTTTGAGTTATATCGAAAAAAGTGAATTTTCGGAATTACTATTTTATTTTTTTTCTCCGTTATTATCAGAGATACAGAAAAACTGAAAATACTTTTTCATTGCAACTTTTAATGAGGTTTAACGTGGTGATACCGATTTTTTTATGCGACGTTTCGTATTCGTGGAACCATCATCAACTTTTGTTTTTTAAACACGGTCCTGATAATTTTTTCACAGATTCTGAAAGGTTTTTTTTATTCTGAATTCAACAATGTACTATACAAGGTGATTCGAATGTGTTTCGACCTATTTCTATCCATCATCAATGTTTTTTCGAACTTCCAAAAGAAAAAAAGCCATCAGTTCCACTTATTTCTTATAATTTAGTGTCAAACTTGATGGATTAGTTATTCAATACTGAAAAGTTAATAAAAAATATTCCACTACATCATTCGATCAATGCAGCGTTTAAAATTGTTGATGAATTCTTACACGAATTACTTTAACAACTCAACTTTGACAATACCTACAGAGACATTCATAACAAATGTTCAAAATGATAACCATTATTTTCTGAACAAAGATATCCTCGTCTCACAGTTGTTTCTAAGACATTGCTAAGCATTTCTGGGGTTATTCTATTGAATGCTTCGAAGGCACTGTCCCTTAGTTCTTCTTCATCCTCAAAGTTATTTGCGTGTACAAAGTTCGATATATCCCCTAAGAAAAATCCAGCTGTGTTAAATCAGGCGACCGCGCCGGCCAAGGGATAAAAACGCACGGACTTCTCTGGAATTATGTACCGGAGCGCCATCTTGTTGAAACCAACAGAGTTCTGAACTTCCGCAATCGGTAAATCATCCAGAGCTTCCTCAAGATGATTCTCAAGCGAATTTCTATAACGTTCGGAAGTCTGTGTTTCATGGTAAATAGAAGGAACAATAATTCGTGTACCAAATATTGCAACCCACATATTAAAGCCGAAACGGTGTTGGTGTCTCGCTGTAATGTATAAATGTTCATTTTCTCGTGAACAATAATGTGTATTTTTTCTATGGAAGCTACCATGATTAGTGACCATGCTTTCATCAGTCCAGATGATTGTTCGAAAGAAATCTGCAAAATTTTAACATTTCCTGGTATACCACTCACAGAATGTCTTGCGCCTTTCGTCATCGCCTGGTTTTAGCGCTTGACATATTCTGAATTTGTATGGATGGAATTTTTGTTTCCGCAAAATGAAATGGGTTGTTGATTGAAACCAGTTGATGAGGTATTAGTGTGTTGACTAATTTTCCTTCAAAATAAGTGGAACTGATGGCATTTTTCCTTTGGAGTTTCGAAAATACATTGATGTTGGCCAAAAATAGGTCGAAACACAAATGAACCACCTCGTATAATACATGGTTGAATTCAGAATAAAAAAACCTTTTAGAATCTGTGACAAAATTATCAGGACCGTATTTAAAAAACAAAAGTTGATGATGGTTCCACGAATACGAAACGTCGCATGAAAAAATCGGTATCACCACGTTGACCGTCATCAAAAGTTGCTATGAAAAAGTATTCTCAGTATTGCTGTATCTCTAATAATAACGGAGAAAAAAAATAAAATAGAAATTCCAAAAATTCACTTTTTTCGATATAACTCAAAAACTAAAATTAATTTTCAAAATTTTCGAAGGCTCTTGATATGAGCCTCCGAATGCGCAACTTTTTCCCCATTTAACCGATTTCGTATCTCTTACCGTTTTCGAGATCCCCATGCTGTTCAACCTTATCTTGGACAGACTGTATAATCATAGAGTTTGCTTTGATGATAAAAGCTGACAGGGGACAGAAGTAAAAAGCCATAAAGACATGTTTTTGTCTCAATGTCTTACTCAAAGCTCTAGTTGAACTTCTCTATTGATATTTTATGTTTCAGATGCCAGAATCCTTGTACCAACCAGTGCGGGGTGAATGCCAATTGCAATCCGAGACGCCATCTTGCTGTGTGCACTTGCCCCAACGGGTACAATGGGGATGCCCTGATCCAGTGCCACCCCACTAGAAGTTTACCTGCTGCCAGATACTTATCCTGTTCAACCTGTTGAAGAAGACGATTCCAAACGAACTAATTTGAGAGTAGCGCGTCATTTTATGTGAATAGTTGTTATAGAATAACTACATTGAACAAGTAACAAATATGAAACTGTTATTAATTGTACTATAGCGAGGTTTGTTCAAGAAAGAACATCTCTTATTCCTCTGTAATTTCAGAATAGATTATATGGATTATTTTCTAGAAAGACGTTTATTTTCGGTTTTGTGACTTATTGCCTTACCAGATCCAGTGCTGCCCCACCAGGAGTGTGGCTGCTACTAGAGTCCCTGTATATACCTTAGACAAGAGTCCGGACACAAAACTGACAGCCGTTGGGGTTTTTGATATTTTGTTTCATTTGGTTTGCCCACCTGACAATGTGACGAAACACCATAGTCGTCCCGTCCGCTTTTTTAAATTATTTCGAATTTCTGTCACTGTCACTTTGAAATTTTATGACCACCAAAATTCAGCATTTTAAATTATTTCAATGTCCTGCTGCGTACATTATTGCGATAATTCTTCAGAACCTAACCTAACCTGACAATCATTGATACTAGGGGAATTGAAAAGACAGAGCTCGATATATATTATTCCTTTATTCAATCATCAATGCATTTTTTGAAAACAGAAAAGGACAGAAGCATAGCTGTGTCCGGACTCTTGTCTAAGGTATATACAGGGACTCTAGCTGCTACCAGCTACTCGTGTTGTTAGACTTGTTGAAGAACGATTCCGGACAAACTAATTTATTAATTAGAAGAAAGCGCGCGTCACTTTATGTGAATGAAGTGCTGTAGAATAACCACATTGGACATGGACACGTAACAAATTTCAAATTGTAACTAATTTCACTTCTGAGACGGTTTGTTCATATCTCTGTAGTTTCAAAATAGCTTTTTAAGATTCTATTCGAAAAAAGGGATTTTGTACCATGGAGGTGCGCTGATCCAGTGTCAGCCCAACAGGAGTGTACCTGCTGCCAGATACTTATCCTGTTCAACCTGTTGAAAAAGACGTTTCGAAACAAACTAATTTGAGAGAAGCGCGTCATTTTATGTGAATAGTGTTGTAGAATAACCACATCGATGGACATGTAACGAAACTGTTAATGATTTTACTTTTGCGGGGTTCGTTGGAGAACTAAACATCCCTCATCCTACTCCACTGTGCAAAACCTCGTACTACTAACGTTATTAAAGAGTAACCAAGGTACATTATTACGTTTTGTTTCTTGTCCATTCACGTCTCAAAGACCGTTTTAGAGAAGTTATACGCTCACCAACATAACAAAATCTCAGTAACGTTAAATATAATTGAAATCTGACATGTTAACGGGAACGACTTCGTTACAGCAATAGTACTTTCCATTACGGTAACTACAATGAAACGGTGATAATGCATGTAACAAAGCTGAAAACTGCTTTCTCACAGCAAAAGTACTTTCCTTCGGAGTTAATACTACAAGAGAGTAAGAGACCATAATGTATTCAGTCTTTTCTTCTAATGTGTTTCGAGATGCGAAAAGTACATTTTAATATACAAGGGGCTTTAAAGTCTGATTTTTGTGTCAAAATATAAAAAATCATATAAACATAATATGCCTGATAACGATTCGTTTATGAGATTCAATGAGTTCAATCATCATGTGCCTATCTCGGAAATGAATGATTTTTGAACATACTTATATTTATAGGATCTTTCCTTCATATTTTGACATAAAAAACTGATCTCGAAGATTCATATAACAATATAATGAAACACCCTGTATATAAATTTGTAAATTTCCGATTTTTCAATCAATCGAAATAGTTTTGATTCAATAATTTTGAGTAAAATTCAGATAAGGAACTGATAAATATATATTTTACTTCTACCAACTTAATGGTTAACAAAATATTATTCAATGAAGTGAACCAAATAAAAACAGAAAAAAATGGAAAACTGAGAATAAAATTCTAAGCAAGTAGGCAAGAGAGTAGGAGACAAACTAATTCGGAAGAAACGCGTCATTTTATGTGAATAGTAATATATAGGGTTGTCCAAAAAAAACGTAATTTCGTTCTTGAATAATAACTTTTTTATTATTGAACCGATTTCATTGATTTTGGTCTTGTTTGGAAGATAATTGAACGAGACAAAACGCCAATTTTATATTTTTCGAATTCTTTCAGGAAACAAAATGGCGGACACGCCTAAACTTGGTCAAACTTTTAAACTTGCTGGAACTTTTTTGAGTCCCACTGTATATTTTTGCGTAAGATATTCAGAATGAATGTATCACATAAAACAAAAAACTGTCGAGAATAATGGGAACATTCCAAAAATAGAATGACAGGGTATTCTATTTGAAAAAATATTTTGAGATAGCGATTACCCGCCATTTTAAAGCTTAAACCTGTAATTTTTCCATTAATTTCCTATATAGGAGCCCTCCAAATTACGTTGCGATATACCAGGAGGTTCAAAAATTACAGAAGGAGGAAATGGACTTCAGATGGGCACTGTATACTCGCGAACTCTGATGTAAGTTCACAGAAATTTCAACTTCTGTTGAGGCAGAGGCCAACCAAGAAAAAGAGTTCTTCACAGGGTGGTAACCGTTGTCCAGACTCGAGGCGCCTTCCAATGAATACACATCATCAACAAGTACTCACTTTATTCACATGTACAAAAAATAAAACTGTCAAGGTCATTTCACTGTGTCGGAAGGTCTCGGAGACTCTTGATACAGGCTGTGCACGCTGGCGATCAGCTCCTTCCAGTCTTCGTCTTCGCTGAACTCGGACAGCTCTCCCAGAAGGTCTTTCAGCGTTATCGTCTTGTCCGTTTTGACAGCGTCGAATGGCAGCTCTTCTACGAATCGGTGTTTAATCAGTTACAAGGCGATAATGAGGTTTTCGAAAACAATAATCTTTTCCTACAGCTATAACACAAAATTGCTCTTGCATGTTTTACTGTGTTCGATACATCGATGAGGTACTGTGTATGTCATCAATTTTATTTCCGTATCTGATATCACAATGACTCCATTGTGTTATTATTTCGAAAAAATCTCATCGCCCATGGGATATCAAATTTCAAGCATTGACAGCTTTGTCTAATAGATGAGCATCACTGATCTGAGAAACTGTATATTTATTTATTCACATTTGTCAAGTGTGCGATAAATAGCCATGATGCATAACATTTTGCAGATATTTTTTTCGAGTCCCCTTTTTCCAATCCTCTCTGGAAAACGAAACGACACTTATGAGGCATCCACTTTTCACGTTTATTATAAATTATTCCGATAGAAAACCGAACTGACATTTAACAAAAATGAATAACCTTTTGCTGTCTGCTAATAAGGCGTATGTCACTGTCATTACTTGAGTATTTTGGTTTCCAAAGAAGACTGGAAAAAAATATCTGCAAAATATTATGCATAATATGGCTACCCATAGAACACTTGACTAATGTGATGATGTTGATTTCGTCTGAGATGTTGATGAATGAATTCCAATTATTTCCCTCAGTAAAATTTAATTTATGTTCCTTAGTCGATGGTCTTATTTTCAGTCCAATCGCAAATGAACTTATATCGTTGATTAGTCAAAAAATACTTTTTTTGGAAAGTACTTTTCACAAAATGGTTGTCATTCGATAAATAATAGTTGGACACGGACATTTAATTTTGTCAACTTGTCTTCTTTCTATCTAGCTTCATACTATATTTACTTGAACTTTGCGAATATAATTTTACCATCCTTCCAAAACAGAATTAAATGATGTCGTATTAAGATAAAGTATGAAATAAATTGTAAGATCTCTTTTAACGCCTATGAATGTGTCGTGACAGCAACGTCATGTCAGGGACGCCAATACACGAAACATATAAGTCACTAGATGATTAAAAGAGAAAGGAGCTATGATCTGTCCGTACCCTGTAAGATGACAAATACGCACGATGTTCTTTGAACATTATAGGGATTCCCTTTCGTACGCTCCAAGCGATAAAAAAATTATAAAAAAAAAAATTGCATATCAAGGGACCCTACCACAGACGAGCAAGAAAGTGAATTCCTGCGTTGTCACCTAAACTTCGCAGGATACGCCTCGTATTCTGACTTTGAGGAAATTTGTATGATAAATAATGTGACAAGTCATCAAGTAACCTTATTGATTAAACACAATTTGAAATTTTTTGAGTTGTCATGTTATTACATTTTCATCATTGAATGAAATAATGAATTAAATGCAACATATTTTTGAGTTGTAATGTTAACAATATGGAATATTTCGATTTGTCACATTATTGCCTGCGTTGCACTTAATGAAATGAAGTAGCTCATTCGAGCTTTCGCAGAAAGATTGAAATAACAGCAACAAGAAGATAGTCCTTGAAAATAAAAATAAGAAATACAAAACTAGAATGAAATTTTCGAATGTTTGTAATTCAAATATTTTTCTTTGCATGAAATATCAAGCTCCACCTTACGTTTAAATTCCAATTTTGAGAAATATATTATAATTCCTTCGGATTAAACATTTGGAAGATTGTGTATTTGAAGAAATTCCCAAGAATAGATTTAAATTTAAATTTCATTCATTATAGGTATTTCCTCCTTTCAGAAAATTTATCTATACCTTATTCCTGCCTATGGTCACTTCTCTTCTCTGACATTTCAACTTTATACGAATTTTCAATGAAACTTATTGCTATTCAACTCAAAATTTGTCTTTTGCAAATACAAGTTTGTTTTCATTCAAAAACTAACGAAAATTGAAAAACTGCCAAAACAGGAATGTTCAGCAAGCGAAGGGCACGATTTGTATATTGCTGGAATGAAAGAAACTCGGAGCACATCTTCAATAAATCCAGTCATGAATATACTGGGGTCTACAAATAGAGAAAAATACCTATAATACATGTTATACGGCAATTTTTTGAGATGTAACATCTTAGA